ATTGTAATAATATTAGTGTTATACTAGAATGGCCCGCTCCAATCCAGTGGTATTGGAGCTTGGGTTAGGGCTGTTCACCTCCAGTGGATTGCATGTTCGAATCCTATGAAATCTTTTTCTCCTCTCTCCCAATTAATCCTGTAAATAATTACAATTTGTTCAAAAAAATATATATTAGTGTCACACTACATATATCAATAATGAACAATCCAACATAAAAAACATGAATCTTAAAGATAATATAGAAAAAGTACAAATTATTTATAAATTTTAATGTGAAATAAAGAAGATAGTTATTTAAAAAATAAAAGAATTATTCACAAATGACAACTAATAAGCTTATTTCCTCATAGAACTAAACGATGGGCTTTGGTTAAAGCTGCCTTTAAATTTATTAAGGTTATCTAAATTGTTAAATTTTTATTTTAATTTAATTATTAAAATTAAATAATAGTTAATAAAATAATTAATTTTATTATTTAACATATAAAATTAGTTTATAGACAAAGAGGAGAGATCCATTTATATATCAATCTTATATATGTTATTTATATAAAATTTCAACTATTTATCTCTTTATTTTTAATAATTAAAATTTATCATAATTTTTTAAATAAAAAATATAATTATTTTTAATAAATATAAATAAATCTCAACTATTAAAAGTATTAAGAAGAATAATTAAAATTTTATATAAGTATAATGTGTAAAATTTTTTAAAAAATAGATCTTTACACATAAATATATATTTTTAAATATTATAATTAATTATTTTCAAAAATTATGAACAAATAAAATTACAAATATAATCGAATGATTTTAACAAAACAAAAAATGACAACTGCCCAACCTAAGCTATGATTATATTTAATTAATTTACCGAGAGGGATCTGACAAAGTGATGAAATGATTAATGTGCATCATCAAGAAAAAGTAAAAGAAAAAGGAAAGTTGGAAAAAGACGACTATCTTCCGGATATGGATATAGTTATTACCACTTAACTAATTGTCAAGGTTATACCCAAAAAAAAAAAAAACATATATAAGAATATTTAATTTAAGGGTTAAAAATATATAGTTATAATTATTAAATAATTAAAAATAATTAATATTGATTTTTTAATAATTTTAAATTAATTTATAAATTAATATTATTAAACACTTATAAAAATTACTTTAAATAAATAAAATTAAATAAATTAAACACTTACACTATAATATTTTATGAAATCTTAACAATTAATACCAACAAGCCCATATAATCAATAATCACTTCTTTTTATTTAAAATAAAAAATTTTAAATTTAAGTCACAT